CACTCCTGACTGAGGATATTAAATGTTACATGTGGATGGGCAGACATTCTCTGCTGACAGGCAACAAAACAGCCTGAATTACTTTCTTCTTGCAGGTCTAACTTATAAACACATGATCTCTATGAAAAGCACGGAAGGTGGTAAAGAGACTGTCGAGCACTTGGACTGGAAATGGGAGCTATTACTTTGAGTCACGTATCAATGACAGGGCTACTCATGTGTTTATTTATAACTACAGAGGCACTTTGTATTGTACTCTCTCCATAGACTCAGGAAGGAGAGGAAGACCAGCTATAAAAGACTATTTGCAATTTCCTTTGCACTTACATAGTAGGTATTCAATAGACAGAAACTATTTGATTTTTTTATAATAATCATCATCTTTATTTCCTGGCTGAGTTTCTAAGGAGGTCATATTTCCTTGAAATTTTCCAAACTTTTAAAAAAGATCCTAGCAATGCGTGTGTGTGTGTGTGTGTGTGTTTTATTTTGGACATTCTCTCCAAATATAGGCTCACATTAATTTTTGCAAAGGACCTTATATAGTCAGTATAAGGAATGAGATTTTGCCTTTTTCCCCCTTGGGATTGAATTCAGGGCCATTGCATTGAACTACCTATGGAAATTTTTTTTTCATTTTTATGTTCAGACAGGGTCTGCCTAAGTCACTACTTTGCCATGGGCTTGAACTTAGATCCTTCAACAGTAGCCTAATTGATTCTTCAGATTACAGGTATGTAGCACCACATTGGTTGACATTTTTACCTTTTTGATCCAATGATGTCTGTTTTAATAAAGTTTCTGTTTCTGTGACTAAATTCATGAAAAAATAAATATAAAGGAACATAGAGGAGGAGAGATTTATTTTGGCTCATATTTTCAGATTTTAGTGCATAGTCATCTGGCTCCATTGCTTTAGGGCTTGAGCAATTCTCACAATCAAATCAGTAGGACTTTGTGGGATATTTTAGTTGCAAAATATTACAGTACCTTTTTGCAATTGTCTATGCATTAATATCTGAAATCTTAATAGAATCCAAACTTTCTCCCTACTGCTATATGCTCAAAATCTGAATTTCTACTGTCTTCAAGATGAGAGAACATAGTTGAATACTTAGTGTGCCCCCAGGAATGAGGAAAAGCAAAAAATATGATTTTTCTCCTGTGCCAGGCAGTCAGATAAAGGCAGTGGAAAGATGATGAATTATTTCTATCTTTGCTAACCAAAAATAACATGTCTACCAATAAAACAGGTTTCACCTTCTAGGCGACTAGAGATTTTATTAAAATAATCATGATGTTTGTTGCACAAAGATTTCCAAGATTTTAGCCTTTCCTCCTTTATTGCTGTAAAGCAGCCTTAATTAATTTCCACAGAGATTCTTCCAATTCCCGTTTTGTTATTCTTTAAACCCCTCCAAATAATTTTTACTCTTACTTGTTTGCCAAACTACACAGAGGGTAAATTATTTAAATTTTTCTTTGAATTAAATGAGCACTGCATATCCAAGACTATGGCATATTACACTTATCCCAGTGGATTTTAGGTAACCAATTTCAGGAGATATTACTCCTTGAAACTCCTGGGAGATGACATGCATAAAATTCTGTTTATTCACCATGTTCAATTGCACCGGTAGGCTCATTTATAGATCTGTGTGATCAGTGACCAGTTTCTAATATAACATGTTAGTAAAATTCCACTGCAGATGTCATTGTGACTTCCAAATGGCGTCTCCAACTACAGGTTTAGCTCTCCCAATGGGTGTTATAGAAAATGCGACTAGATTTACCAGCTTCCTGGAAAAATATTTTAAAGACAAGGTAGAGGTTCCCAGGAAGGTGGTCAGGCCTTAGTTTCACTGGCAAATGTATCTTCTACTTGGAACAGGATGTGTTATCAGAGGAGTACCAGTCTGAGGAATGGGACTGACAAGGACTTGGAATGCTCTGTGCCAGGGCAAGGACAGGTGATTCTGCCTTGTTTGTTCCCATGAGAGCAGGGTGCAGCCCTCACAGGAGGACATACTGAAGGTCAGCAGGTCTGGATCCAGTATGGAGAAGAGGGCATCCTGGAGAAGACCAAGAGAAGGGTGCTGAAATACAGAGAGAAATGGGAGTAGACAAAATGCCAGCCCCTGAGGCATAGTCACTTCTCAAGTAACCGCAGGGTAAGGGGAAGCAGTACAGTGTCTAAATGAGGAAAGCAGATAAATCTGAGGTTGTATTCAGACTTGCTTTTAAAATCCTGTTTAAGTCCATTTCTATCAGGATTTTTATTTTCATGTCCTGAGAATGATTATCAACGTGTGAGAGTAGGAATAAGAAGAGAGACACAGGTTTAATTTGAGGTAGAAAGAATGAAACAGATTGAGCTCTAGATGAACCCATTAAAAACTGTAGTCCCAGTCTTCTTGTACCAGATATGTGAAAGAGGACACAATCTCAAGCTCTCTCATCTTGGCTATTTCCTTTAGTAATTGCTATCTTATAGGACAATTATAAGGTGTGCCAAGCATATGAAAAGCAAAGCAAAATTATTGGCATCGTTTTGGACTTTATGAGGAGTAGTTATTGGTTTATGTTGATCTCATATCTTTATTTTCTTATCTGTGTGCATTCTAACTATAGGCTCTCAGAAAACAAAGTGCTATGTGACATAGATTATCAGATCAGACAAAAATTTTCATTGGCAATTAAAACTATAATGTTTTTGCTCTCCGTGGTTAGTATTTACTGTAGGTGTTAGGTGCGTTTCTCAGTTGTATGATTCAAATGTAGAAATTCAAGCTCCTTTCTTCATTCATAGCTACCTTTCAATGTAAATCCTACATTCATTCATTTTATCCCAACAAAAATTTTAACCCGTATTTATTACTTATAAAATTACACTCAAGATAACGTGCTTAATTTTCCTTTGGATTTGGGGGTGGTGGTACAACCTTTTAATCTCATCTTTCTGGGAGGAGTTCTGGGTAACGTAGTAATTTAGTGAGATCCTGTGTCAAAAATAAAAAAATAAAAATAAAAAAGGGTTTATGATGAAGCTCAATGTGAAGGCCCTGAGTTCAAAGCCAAGTAGCATGGGGAAAATGTTGCTTTGATTGAAGTGAGCACTCCCTCTGCTAGGTCATGAGAAGGCATCTCGCTCTTCATTTGATTTTCAGTAATTACACTCAAGGGAGTTTCATCCACATTCCACAGAAACTCCTGGGATATGATATGCAGAAACATATTCAGTTTGTTTACTGTTCACCTACATTGAAGAAGAAAGGAGAATGCCTACAACTTCAGTCATAGTTGAAAATTTCTCTCTGGATTACTCATGGTCAACAGGTAATATTGAACAACAATTTTCCACTACAGGGTTTTGGGTTTAAAATAAGAGAAACACATTTTGAGAATCTAAGGCCTGCTCCCCATTCCTACAGCCCCATCTGACCCACTTCTGGCTTAAAATAATATTAACTTCCCCTGAGAACTTGGAGTTTTAAGAAGCTCCAAACACTATGCTTTAAGGAATATATTTTTCTGACAAACTGTTGTGGACTTCTACTCATACCTTCTTTTTACTTGTCCTTTGGATATCAGATCTATTATTACCTCTTTAAGGCTATTGCTCCCAACTTAAAACTCTACAGGCTGCTCTTCATTCCCACTGACCCTATAATCCCCAGTACTAGTGCACAGCTTTCCTTAGAACAGGTATGCAACTCAGGTTTGGAGAATGCTGATCCAAGCATTAAATGTAATTAATTAATATTTATGTCTCATAAACTCTAAAAAATAGCTACACAAAGCAGTGTATAAGTCATTTTGTTTTACAGAAAAAGAGACTAAAAGGCATAAAAGAGCTAACAACTGAATATATTTTACATAATTTCTACTGCATTCCATTGATGCCAGGTATAGTCAGGCTGAATTCTTTTGTATTCCAAAGAAATTTCTCTAGAAATTCAATGTTGTGTTGCTCCACATAAAAAAATATAACTAGTGGTTTTTAATTTGTTTCCATACAGCAAAGGTCACATTACTTAACCTCATATATGGTACTACCTGTGTGAACAGCATAGCTTGAATATTGGAGATATTGAACCTAATTACACTTTTTTCCCTTAAATACTTTTATTGGTACATTTTAGGTATACAATATGTTTACATTTATCATTGGGTGCTTGTACCTGTACATGATGTATCTTGGTTCTTATTTTTTTTCCCATTACCTGTGCGCCCTTCACCCCCTCCACCCTACCCTATTTACATAGGTTTCATTTCCATTTTTTTCTTTTCTCATAATTTTTCCTTTCCCTTCTTTCATGTCCCCTTCCCCTCCCACCACCCCTCCACCTTTGGACCTTTTCCTATTTCAAATTATCATTTATTCATTTTAATCATTTTAATCCTTATTTGCACTTTCAGTTTCTCAAACTAGAGAAACTATTCGGTATTTACACGTGTGTCCTATTTATTTCACTTAAGAGGATGGCCTCACTATGCATCCATTTAGCTATAAATGTCTCTAGTTTCTCATTCTATTTACACTTTTTAAAAATGAAAAAATATTTTTTTGAATAATACAACCTTTAAAACTAAAAGAATAAGTTGTCAGGTTACACATTGAAAACTAACATGTGAATGATATATTCTGTTTTCCTGTCAGACCCATCCCACCACAGGTACCTATATTCTTTCAATACTAGCATTCTCTTGGAACAAAATGTGTACAGTCCACCTCTGACTTGTCTAGGTGTGGGAGAAACTGCTGCTTGTAGCACTGGAGCTTGCAATGGTCCTGGAACTGGAAGCCACTCTCAATGAAATTCTGGCATGTGCTGTCTTTTATTTCTCTAGTGGAATCTCCTTATATGGAGATGGGAAAAAACTCAGATTTCTCCTCTGAAACTTGAACTGAAGTTCTCCTCCAGAACATTCATCTTTCTGGGTTCAGCATGTGCTCTTAGGCCTCACAGTTCACATTGGATAGGATCACTGTTGGCCACCTACTGGTAGTCAAGGTACTTTTCCTTAAATTCTTCGGTGATGAGCTCCCTAGGTGCACCAAAGAGGAAGTAATCCTTTGCAGAATAAATCCCTATCAGATTCACTGCTTCCTGGACTTCCTCTTCAGTGGCACAGTTGCCTTTCATGAAGATCAGACCCAGGACAAGTATCAACATGCTGGTTTTGGGCATACTCTCTTCATCACTCCCAATCCCATCATAGGTGGGGCCCAGTTTGATGAAGACACCATAGCAGTGGCTTTTGGGATCGACTTCCTTCACATCAAAGCAAAAGAACATTTCCATGCACTCCGAGGCTCACAGAAGGTTCTCAGGCTTCATTCTCTTCTTTGGTAACTTTCAATATACCTGCCTTTCTTATTGGCTCTTTAATTTGATACTTGAACAGAATGAAACTCACCAAAAAAAAGCCTCTCTCTCCTCCAGAGCATTGATGAGCATATTCCCAAGGAATATTGCTGCAGTTTGTGAGGTACTTGAGATATCCTCATTTTCTTACCTACTGGAGTTCTCCCTAGATTTGTTTGAAGAACAACAGCAATTCTAAAGAGAGCCAGAAGCATTGAGTGCTCATAGACACAGGAGCCTACTTCAGGGTGTCATGCAGTAGAGGATGGCAAGAAGAGAGAAATTTCTTCACAGCCTCAGAGACATGTAAAATATCTAGGCCTTGGGTCTCATTGCACATCTGATGTTCTTCATCCTGTGTTTGTTCTGGATTTGCCAGTATTGAGATATAATGACTCCAGTGAATGGCAGTAGATAGGAGCATGTTTGGAGCATGGGCAATGAAGAATCACAGTCTAAGGGAGAAAGGAAGGATGTCATTATTCTCAGCATTTATATTCAACTATAGTGCCTCTGATGGAAGCTACAACTAGTAGAATTCACCTGAAAATAATGTTATAATGCCTCACAAGACTTCTATGATTCTGGTTTTTGTGCACCCCAGGACCAGAAGAAGGAAGTAACATTCCTCTTGAGTAGACTGCCAGCCACTCAACATGAGAATCCTCAGATATCATAAGAGATAGTTGTGGTTGAACTCTGTATAACCTACTTGTTCATTTGTGAGTAACACTATCTCATCACTGCACGATAAGAGATTTCATTAACTTGGCATCTGATAAGGTCGGAGCTACCTCCTCTGCTGTAATATCAAGCTGGTAACCTAAATCAAACCCACATATCCTCAGAAAGTAAAGAGGAAGTATGTTAGTGTTATCTACATCTTCTCTACCTGGAATTTCAGAGAGGTCACAACATATGATAAACTATGTAGCTGCCTTTACATGGTATGATGATCCCCTCAGTTCTTACTAAGGAGACCCAATTTGAATCCTGCCAAGAGCAAGGATTCTCCATTTTGTGAACCTACTTTTGTCCCCCTCTGACCATTGTGTGTACCTCCCCAAGACATTAGATGTACTGATGTGTCATCTCTAACTCAAAGCCTTTCCTTTATACTCTCATGGCTGACAATAGTGCAGGGATTGATTCTTTGCAGTTCCTACTCTTTAGGAATAGGTGGCCCTTCAGTTTTCATTTATACTTCCTTAGTTACTGGTGGGGTCTCAGGCCCTAACACTACATTAAGAAATTTCACATCTTCTATCTAGTAAAACAGGTCCTCTTTCTGTCTTGCCAGTGAATAAAAGAAAGACATTTAACACCTCCACTGGAACTTCCCTGGTATATTTACAAGGGGTATCTAGTACAGATCCCTTTGTTCTTGTATAGACCTTCCACTTCACTCAAGCTCCTTACCAGGACCATTGACAGGATCTAGACCAGTGATGGCAAATCTTTTAGAGACTGAATGCCCAAACTACAATCCAAAACCCATTTTTTTATCACAACGTGTCAATACTGCAAGTAAACCTGAATACTGAGGTTTCAATTTAGAAGAAACAGCTCTACATTAACCTCTTTGGTCTTAAAAGAAAAAAAACACAATAACACTCATGCCATAGGTTCACCACCACTGGTCTAGATCTTTTCATCTGCTAAGCTGCTGTGACATAGACACACAGACCAAGAAAAGTCCTGACTGAAACCTCCCCAGAAATAAAACTATGGGCAACTGTCCAGGTGACACCTGACTACACCTCTTTGGGTCGATGAAGTTGTCAGGGTATTTTAGTCCCCCTGTGTCTTGGGTTGGATTCTTTTTAGTCTTCAGTTCATGTTTTTTTGTACATTCTTGGCACTTCCAGGGCATGATATACACTGCATTCTCAACATGTAACATTCATACCAAGACCTCCTTAATTCTCTATTGCATGTAGTGAGTAGATGAAATTACAGACATCTGTGTCTGGAGCCTCCAAGGAAAGGAATATGGTTTCGGGGCTATTATATCAATTTAACGGGTGCTTAATATGTTTTTGTCTGTATTTACCCAAGTATGATAGCAAGACAAAGCTCTGTTGAGATTACTCTGCTCTGTGATGTGTGTTCCATCATTTTCACTCAGGGTTCTTACCTTGATCAAAGAAAATGTATAGAATATAATTCACTTCTTCAGATCAAAACTTGTATCAATCTACATTTACAGAGCAGGAAATGTGGAGATACCTCAGGCTGACAGCCTTGTTCAATGCTTCCTGCAGTTCAAAATACAACAAACCAGGGCAATGTTCAGACCACATTTTCTATAATGGCTCCTTGCCTGAACCCTCAGCCAATGTTTTTGCCTTGACTGCTGATTGACATAGTTATCACCTTCTGATAACTGCCCCCAGAACTAGGTGGGGGGTTCTATATTGTGATGTTTCTTACTTCTGTGGAGCTTGGTCCCCTCAGTGCTCATTTAATCTGACCTTAACACTTGGCAAGACCAGGGTCAATTTCTTGCAGCCTCTAAATTGGACCCACTTGCTTCTCATTTTGTATAGGATTAAGTCCCCCAAAATCTCCACACCCTAAGAGGAGGAAGTCAGGAAACATTCCATCCCCATCACCCTGCTTCTTAACTCCCACTGCTGGAGCAGGGCTTTGCTTATGGCTTTGCTCCTGGGTTCCTTACTGAGGATGTTGCTGGCTCTCAGAGTCCTCAAGATAACTTGTGGTGGGGCCTATGCTTTCTCCTCCTGCTGATTTGTGGTCGTGCCCCTCATACCAATGTCCTTATATCAGGATCCTGTAGAGTAACTGAGTAGATGCTTGAGCTGGAGAGCAGGATAAGAGCAAGAAATGATAGCTCTGTGTAACCCCTTTAATTTTACAGTTTCGGTTCTCAGTCCTCATGTATAGTGATCATCATCTCTGTTCCTTTCTCTTTGATTCGGGGTTTCTTAGAAAATGTCCCCTCTACCTGCTAGGTGCCACCTCTTGACTCATTTACTTACTACAAGCTTTGTAGAGCTTGGATTGATTCTCTTCCACAGGGTGGATATGAGATGTCAAATTACCCTGATTAGGCAGGCAAGGACCAAAGAAGGCTATGGAATACCAAGAAAACACATGTTGATCTCTTCTCTGATTTCACCAGCCAGACTTAGCCTTTATTGAACTTCTTTTTAAAAAATATTGTTTCCAATAATATACAGCTGCAATGCAATAATTTTGTGATACTCTGTTTATTTGTTTGGTTTTGGATATATGGCATAGAATATACAGATGATTACATTTTTACTGGATATTATTTCTTTTATTTTTCATATCTCTAATGTATTTGGCTATTCTCATTACTCCCTAATGTTTCTAGTCCAGTTTTGAAGAGTGAAGTTATCTCAATTTAGCTCTTCTTTTCATGAGGTCACTCATCTGTGTTTGCATCCAGGGAAAGTTACTTGTTACTTACAGTGGAATAATGATAAATTGTTTTGTTTGGTTTGGATGAGGTTAGCGAAGATGCTGATTTGATTCACCTAATTACTAGTGCAACTGACCAGTTTATTTACTTGATCCATGGATATTTGGAGAATTGAGATGGAGTAGGATTTCAGGGTGCATTTGCCAATTTAAATTTTTCTAAGTCTAATGGTCTGTTTAGTCATTTACATTTGGCTAAACATTGGTCTTATTCACTTGGGTGAACAACATTTAGGTATGATGTTTATGCTAAAATAATTTCTATATGAGATATCAGACATATAGTTATGTACAAAACAATACAATAAGCCCTGTCTACTTAACATTCAGTGTATCAGTCTTTAGTAGTTACTAGTAGACGCTTGATAAGATTAGTGTTTTCTTAGTAAAACATTTCTTCTTAGGCAAAACATTTCTAAGGTGATGGTTCAAACTTCTGTTAGAAGATGTGTAACATCTGTTGTGGTAGTCAGCTTTTGTGGCAAAATACCTGAGATCAACAACTTTGAAAAGACAATTAAGTGTTAGGCTTGGTCCTATTGCTTTTAGGCCTGCAGTAAGTCAATACATCAAGGTAAAAGCAAGTAGTAGAGGAAAGGTTTTCACCTCATAGACCTGGGAAATAAGAATAGAGAGAAAGGGAATGTGGTCCCTATATCCCCTTCAAAGGTACCTCTCTCAGTGACCTACCATTCCTCCACCAGACTCTAGCTCCTAAAAATTCCACTGCCCCTCAATAATACCAAAGGCTTTGATATATGAGCATTGCAGGGAGAATTCTATGTCATAGCATTTGGGTATCATTCCATTAGGTGATCTTTCTTTATGATAAAAAGTACTTTTTTTAATTGCAGTGCTGGGGATTGAAACCAGGGATTGCCTCACACATCTTAGCAAGTGCGCTACCTCCCCAGCCCCTAAAAAACTGCAGATGGACATAAAAGAACCGACTAGATGAAAAAACATGTTGATGAGAGGAATGTCAGAAAGATGGTAGTTGCTACCAACTCAACAGATATTACCAAAGTATAAATACAATAGTAGAAGAACATTAGGATGTTTTTTGTTTTTTTGGAAAAGGGAGACAACTTGACAAGATGTTATTTGAAATAGCAAATGGTTATGAGCTATGAACACCTTGAAAAAAAAAAAGGTAGGATAGCAATATTTGCTCTACCAGTAGCTAAAACATACTAGAAAAACACAGCAATTAAGTCAGCATAATATTGGTACAATGACACCAAGAAACAAATTCTAATTACTGCAAGTATATATGATGTACCCATGAGCAGTGATATTAGTTAATACACACATAACTGGTACTGTTGCTTCCTAGTATAGTTCTCAGAATTTATAGACTGTATTAAGTAATAAAACTACTTTTGGCTGCTTGGACCATGCTTGCTTGAATATAATTTCACCAGCATGTACCTCGTGTATAGATCCAAGAGTCACAAATGTTAGCCACATACATCCAGGGTTAACATGGTGACGGGGGAGAAAAATTTCACAGTGGTCACAGATAAGGGGGTCAGAAATTACTGGGATTTAAAAAAAAACTCTTTGATACATTTATAATAAAATATTTTTATAATCTACCAACACGTGTAAAATTATAAAATAATGAGAGGTGGTAATGTAG